GGTTTGTACATTTTGTCTTTAAATAATACCACAGAACACAACTGAGTGTGGGCATGATGATGAGGTTCCTCTTTCAGCAGTGAGCGGTGTGGTTTCTAAATAAAGCTAATGGTGGAAACTGGTTGTCTTTAATACTTCAAGTACTGGGGCAAAGAGTTCCCAAAGGGCAAGGTTATTCCAGTCACTTACCTCTGGCGTGAGGCTTTGGTCAAGACAGACAGACAGACAGCTCTACGTGTCTCTTACCCTTTGCTCCGTGCTGCTCACGTGCTGGCAGTGGCATTTTGTGCGAACTGCCTGAGGAGCAATTCTGCTGAAAACTTACCTGTTTTGGTGGAGGGCAAATTAGAATCGCTTCAGAAGCGTTTCAATGAATAATTTCTGTTTTCTGCAGAAAGTTGAGCCTTTTGTTGAACAAACAGTGCTAGGCAACTTTTGGTGCTCTTGCTACGAAGATGTGCGTGACCTTCGTTACTGGGATGTGTGAACTTCATGTCTTGTGAATGGTAGAGAAAGGAAGGTAGATGTTGGATGAGAGAAGGAAGAAGGGGGAGCCGTAAGCAGTTTTTCTTGCTTTGCTTCAGCTGCAGGGCTCTGAGGAAGAGAAGACCTTTCTTCATTCTTTCAACCTCTCTTTTAATTTATTTGCTGCCAGCCCTGGCAGAATAATCCTGCTGAATAGTTAACAATCATATATTTTATATTGCGGCTGTGATCTTCAGGAGAACAGAGATCAGAGGGACGGAGCAAACTAGTGCAGGGAGCACTTTTATAAACGCACAGGTTTTTCATTCCTTAGTGGTGTGGATGTGTGAACGTGGTCTCAAAAAGGAGCAGCATTACCCTGTGTGCAGGAGGGGCAGGGAGGAGAGATGGAGATGCAGCTCATTAGTTGTTTAACTGCTCAGGGAGCTTCTCCCTCTGCCAGGGCAGGCAGCTGGGACTGGTTGGGGAAAAGTCCCAGAGCCCCATCATTAGTGGAAGCAGTCCCATCGGACCCACAGCCTTGCCTACACTCAGCCATGGGGCTCCGTGTTCTGCAGCCTTCTTCAGCATCTCCACCGTGCCCTGGCTTCTCCTGCACCTCTTCTTCCTCCAGCATATCTTGGCTTGGGCACCCCTGCGGCTTGCCTCCAGCCTGTGTGCTTCAGCCATGCCCCAGAATCTCCCTAGCTTTGAAAGCATTTTTACACTTGTGTTTCACTTGGGTTTTCCTTCCCAGAAGTAATCCCTTTTCACTTTGGAGTTATGACTACTGCTATTTTATTTATTTTTTTCCTACAGTTGTCTCCAACTTTAGAAAGCCACTGTCTCAGGCTGGATATTAGGAAAAATTTTTGCACAGAAAGGGTTATCAGACATTGGAATGGGCTGCCCAGGGAGGTGGTTGAGGCACCATCCCTGGAGGTGTTCAAAAGACGGGTTGATGTAGTGCTGGGAGGTATGGTTTAGTGATGGTGATGCTTCTTCTTTGTTGTGCGGGTGTCTATTTTTGTCAGTTAGGTTGACGGTTGGACAAGATGATCTTTAAGGTCCCTTCCAACCTAGAAGATTCTGTGTGATTTTGTAATTCTGTGAAAGTTGTCTCCTGTCTGTTGTCAGGTGTCTGGGTCCATCATCTAAACCAGAGGTCTTCCAAGATGAAACAGTTTAATAAAGGTTAGAGAAGGTATTGGTTGACTTTGTCCCAAGCAGCTGCAGTTAAAACTGTAGGAAACTAAAGTGATGAGTTGTTTTACGTAGAACATCTTGACGTGTAACTCAAATTAATATGGTTTATCAGCATGCGTTTGAATCCTTGCAATCACCACCTTCTTTTAAACCAGGAGAAGATGGCACAGGAAAGAGAGGGACTTTTTTAACATGTTTTTAACAGGCCTGCAGTTAAGCATTGAAATTTGTATCTTAGCACCCACGTAAGAGGCTGGATGTTTGTACGATACATGTAAATGAGCAATAAATGCTGACATTAAAGACAGTTTATGTGCCTACAAATAGCTTTCGGCTTGAGTCTAGTAACAAAATAGAGCTCCTTTTATCTCGGGCTCATTCAAGGCCCCCGTAGTAAAGCCGTGTTGGCAATGGCATGTCAGCATGTAACATTTGCTTGGCCTGCTAGTATTGTGTGAGAGGGGCTAAAATGTGTCTATATTGGCACTAAAGTGGGATAATCAATCGAGTTAAGGCAGTTCACTGGAAACAGCATTTTTTTTTCCCTAGTCTGCACAGTCCCGGGGGAGTTTTCCCTGAAGTTCAGTGTCTGACACTATGCTCTCGAAATGGAAGTGGCACAATCCCCTCTTATTTTTTGCTCCTTTTCCTGAGCGCACAGTCAGAAGTAGGTTAAATTCGTCCGAGTGAACTGGCCGCAAATAAAGCCAGGGTGCAGAGGGCTTCCCAGCCCTGGGGTGGGAGGTGGCAGCAGGGTGCCTGGCAGGGGACACGGGCAGTTCATGGCCAGCTGAAAGGGCAGCCGCCGAGGGACACGGGCCAGCGTGTGGCCCTTTGGCCGGGGACATCGCTCCGGGCGATGCCGTGGAAGCTGGAGCCTACTTGTCGTCGTGCCAGCCAGGAAGTCCTTGTCTGGGGTTTGTGTCTTGGTTGGAGGAAATGCTCCACAAGCTGGGCTTCTAAAATAGTCCTTGGCTGGTGGCTGCGCTGGCCCTGCCATCAGAGGTTTGTGTGTGAGTGTGCAAATCTGGGTACAAGGAACCTATTACACACCCTATTTAGTGGTGGCTCCTCATTCTCTGCTCCCTGCCACCAGCAGCGGAGAGGCTACGCTTGTTTCGTGCTTTAAATCCTCTTTATATTCTTCATCCTCTGAAGAAGCTGGATAAAACAATCTTTTTTTTGATGGTAGTTAACTGCCGAAGCAGGTTTTTATTTTGCCTAATTCTGTTTAGGTAGCAGGATAGGTACTCGGATGACAGGAGTGTAGGAATCCCTAAATCTACCAGATGGATTTTTCATTTTTAGAAATGAAAAACTGCATTTCAGATTCTAAATGCATGTAGGTCTTTGGAATTTGACTACACCTGGGTTACAGTTGATATTAATGTGCATAACTGGGGGCAGAGGAAAGTCACGGGGCTCTGAAGCAGTAATTTACTCTGCTTCAGCTCTGGAAGAGTTTTATGTGTCTATAAACAGGAAGGCACAGAAAGCTGAAGAACCTTTCAGAAATATTTTCATTCTACAGCATGACCAGGAAAGAAATTTCATCGTTAGGACAGATTTTGCTGGAAATGACAAAAATCCTGAGCTCACCTTTTAAAGTTCCTGTCGAACTACAGTGATCCCTGGGAATTCCAAATGCACCCAGAAAATAAAATAGAGAAGCAAGAACATAGCCTTTGGGGTTTTTTGATAGTGGTTCCCTTTTTCCTTTTCTTTTTTTTTTTTTTTTTTGTTTGTTGTATTTGCTGCAGAAGAACAGATAAAATGGTAGTGGGCCAACTGATACTGTCCCAATACAGGTCCTTGGAATAGGCTTGCTCTTCCTAAATAGGAAACATCAGTAGGTCTGGTTGGGATTTACACCAGTACGGCTGAGACAAAAACTTAGACCTTCATTGTTATGCAAAAAGGCAATTCTGTCTGAATACGAACAAATGCATTTAAATACCTGTTATATATTCCTGGCATTCAGAGCACCAAAACTACTATGGAAGGTAACACCACGGCGGGAAGATTTATTTGTCAGCCTTTTAGTAGGATGCTTATAATGAAAAATCTATTTATTTCGCTTGTCCATCAAGATACGACTTGCCCTGAGTGGATGAGTAAAATTTTGCAACTCTGCATTAAAGTGATGCCATTCCCAACGCAGCCCCGGCATCAGTCAGTTTCTGTCTTAATAACTAGTGCTGGCAGAGGCCTCTTGTTTATGCTTTGGTTTATTGCTCTTAGCTGGTGTACCAGTAGCCAAAAAAGCCGCCTGCAATATCGTGATTTACACAGTATTGCTCGTGTTAATCCCATTACTTTGCCAGATGATATTTTATATATTTTTTTTGGGGCATCTCTTCACCTCCCACCCCTTGAACTGTGATTTTTCTCAGTGGGACAGGAGTGTGGCGTGAGGAGCAGCTGTGGCTGGCGGTGCCAGATGTGCTCCCCGAGCTTGCTGCAGCCGCCTGGGATGAGAAAGGAGGAGGGGAGGGATGGCTGCTTGGGTGTGCACATGCAAGTGAGAGAGAGAGAGAGACGGTGGGAGGGAAGGAAGGAGGGAAAGAGAAGGCGCACATGATTTTTTTCCAGTGTGTAAACACCTCCAAGAACAATGAGGATTTCTGTTCTCACTCCCGGCACACAAAGGGGAGAAAAATCCAGTGACCGCAGTCACACAGGGCAGAATATTGTCAAGTGAGAAGAGTGGAGCTTGTGCTTCATTGCTTCATGCCACCACCTGTGCCCAGAGTAAAGAAGCTTCTGCTCCTGCAGCGCGGTCTTGGGTTTCGAGGAATGTTTCGGGTGTGCTGGTCAGCAGCGTCACCCTGCCTTCTCCTCAGAGAACCTGCAACAAATCCTTTCGGAATTCCCTTTGGGCTATAGTTATAAGGTTGCTCCTGCTTCTGAAATGCCCCCAGCGTGTGTGGGGAGGGCTGTGTTTGGGGCAGCTGGGGATGCTCGTGAGGAGGCAAATGTCACACAGAGGGACTGGAGATGAATTTTCCTTCCTCGTACATAGTCGGGCACCAAAAGCAGGGAGCCCAAGCCTGTTACCCTTTTTACAGGGCTGGTTGCCTTTCTGCCCACAGGGAGGAGAAGTTGGCTTCTTTCCACAGAGATTTGCATTTTGACTGGCATCTTTCTGGAATTCTTTATGAAATGAAGGGGTGGGGGTGTTGGTTGACTGTAAAAACGCAGGAGAGCTGGCATGCAGTGTGCTCGCCTTGGCCATAACAGCCCTGACTGCTGGAGAATGGTGGCTGTGAACCCCAGATCCTGGCTCTGCTGGGTGCAGGATGAGACCCTCCTGCATTACCATGATCAACATGGGCCTGAAAGTGCTGAAGTCTCCTACTCTGGAGACGTTCAAAACCCACCTGGACAGGTTCCTGTACAACCTGCTCCAGGCGGACCTGGTTTGGCAGGGGGGTTGGACTAGATGATCTCCAGAGGTCCCTTCCAACGCCATGGGATTCTGTGAAGTGCGGCAGAGGGGAACTGGTGAACTATGGCAACCAGTAACTGGGCAAAGGATGGGGAGGATTTGTGGTGGGAAGCGATCGCTAACATTAAAAGCAAACAAACAAGCAAGTGTCATGGTGTTTTGGATTGCTTTGTGTTAGGAGAAGTTCCTTAGGCCAAGCAGCTCCATTTATACATTCTTGTTGTAATTGCACAAACCGCGAGGCTGTAATTTAAAAAACAAAAACACAACAAAAAGCCAGCGGGGGGGGGTTCCTTTACTTCTCTGGAAAGAGGAGTCAATTCTAAACTTTTGTGCCTTTGCAACAATATGTAGGGGCTTTACAGTGCTGAGCTGCCTCGCCTGAATGTTAAATTATGGCACTTGTTTCACTCTTTATTTCTGTGTCTTGCGTGATGCAGTTTGTACCAGCAACATCTGAATGCTTTGGCTTACTTTGAAAGACTAGGAGAGTTAAGGGTCTTTAATGAAATAAAAGAAAAATCCCCAAAATAGCCTTCTGTAATTTCTGAATTGTATTCTCGGCGGCATTAGCATATAGCTGGAGTTAATTCATTTGCATTAGTGAGAAAGTCAAAGTCAGAGCAGAATTAGGCCTGTTTGAAAATCAAGCCAGAATCATATCTGATGCAACTCAATCTCAGCTTTGAATGGGAAGCCTGTCACATTGCTTGTGAACCCGGAGACGTGGATATTCCAGGTTCATCCCGACCAGTAGAAGGAGGGGGTTGGACTGGGGGCCCTGCTTTTGCAGCCCAGAACCAGGGCACAGGATTTGGCAAGGTGATGCAGCCAAATCTGTGCTGTACAGTGGCATCCTCCCTGCCCTGCCACCACCCTGCTCAGAGGCATTGACCCCACAGGACAGCATCACCATCTGCAGAGCCCAGGCTCAGGTTTTGTTTGCCTCGTTGGGCATAGCTTTAGGTGGTTGAAGATGCAGCTTTGTGGTTTTGGGAGGATGAGGGGGTGGCCAACAGCACCCCGGGATCTGGGCACCTAACTCCCATGGATTTCCAAAGGAGCTGGGTGCTCAGCTTTCACAGGTGCTTTAAAAGTCCTAAGAGATCATATAGTGAGGTCTCCAAGGAGGAGGAATTTTTTCCCCTACCTGGTTATCACAGTTATCTTTTGGCTGAAGCAGGAGGATTCATAACTCATACCAACTTGTGGCAGAAATATAAATCTCTTCAGCAATGAACATATATTATTTTCTGAATTATTTAAGCCCTTTGTCTCATCAAAGCAATGAGCATAATTTTTAAGGACTCTGCCCCTTAAATGTATTTTCCATTAAATGATGGGGTCCTCATTTTCTTCTGTATAAGAAAAAGGGAGATAGGTCCCAGAAATGTTTCTACCTTGAAGTATGTATTATTTGACATACTATTATCATGTCAGTCCTGACCTGAGTTCTCTCTAAACTTAATAGTCATAATCTTTTAAATCCTTCCTCCGATGGGAACTTCTCCATAGCTGTAATAAGTTTTGTTCTCCTGTATCCTTTTTAAAATGAGGTAGCAAGTACTTGAGCCTGAGTGTGCACGGAGGCTTTACATATGGCTTTACTTTTTTTTTTTTTTTTTTCTTTCCCTGTATTAACACATTCTCCCACCCTGTTGTCTTGTTTCTTTGCCACTTCTTTGTCCTTCTGTACAGAGCAGGTGTTTTCACTCAACTGCCTACAGCGACGCCTAAGAATTTTCCAGAGCAGTTGGAGTTAAGATAACATCCATCAGCACGGATGAGGAAACTGCTGCTTTTTATGTGCATTACCTTGCATTTGTCTACACCAAATTTCAGCTGATCAGGGAATATTTCCTCAACGTCTTTGGAAATTATACAGTCATTGACTGAGGGGGAGAGAGAGGATAGAAATTAAATGGTCACAACATTTGCTGAATATTTACTAGCGGAGAGGGAGGGCTCCTTTGAAATGAGACCAGTTTCTCGCAATCTCGTTTCTCTGTGCTGTTCCCTCTCTCTCTCTCTCCATATCAAGCAATGGGATTAGGGAAGGCATGAAAGAAATTTCCTTCAGTTCTCTTCATTTTGGGAAGACGGGGCTGTGTCAAGTTAGTGTTGCAGGAGTTGTGTGTGGGGACTGTTTTGGGGCTTCTGTTTGCTCAGGGAAGGGAAGGTGGGTTGGTGTGGATGGTCAGAGGTGGGATGGGGAAGACAAAGAAAGGTGGTGGCACACACTTGCCCCAAAAGTTTTGAGACCTGTGAGGGCAGAGCTCACAGCAGGCTTTTCAGCGGGCGAGAAAGCTTCCAGGGTGAGGAGGCTGCCTTGTGTTCCTCATGCTTAGGGATTGATTTATCACCAAGACAAGATTTTAGGAAAAACTTTCTTCCTTGAAGGAAAAGCAGATAAAAATAATACACAAGTTCTTAGTTCTAATGCAGAAAAAAAAAAAGATTGTCCCCTTCTGCAGACATGTGCTTGCCTTATGTCAGGTAAAAATAATACACGAGTTCTTAGTTCTAATGCAGAAAAAAAAAGATTGTTCTCTTCTGCAGACATGTGCTTGCCTTATGTCAGGAGAGTCACTGCTCTGTTCCTGGGTATAAAAATGGTCAGTGCAGGGGCACCCACCCAGGGCAAAGGCTGCATTTGCTCCCACTGTGGACTTTTTGAATCGCGTTAAATAAAGTAGAAGGGGAACTGTAGCCCCCATTGGGCTGAGTTGCCTGTAATTGTGAACACCCAATTTTGAAAGTCTTAACCTGATTTTTACGAACAGAAAAGCACTACCCAGAAAACTCAATTCCATTTTTAATTGTTCCAGCCAAAATTCAGATCTGTTCTCCTTCCCAAGCATCAGGAGCCTCACAGTTGTCGCTACTGTTTCCTCTCTAAACCGTGGTATGTTTTGTTGAAATATTGATGGGGGAACTCTAGGGCATGTGGAAGTTCATTTTCGAAGAAGATTTATGCATAGCCTTGGTGAAACTTCATTGATATTGTGGATTGATATAAGTAAGTACATATGTATTTAGGATATGTGTCTGTAAACTTTCTAGGCAGTCTGTGGCAAATGAAAACAGAATGTTTCAAATGTGTTTCCGTCTTTAAAGACCAAACACACCAGCTGAGCCATCTACAGCTTGTGTTGCCATCCAAGCCCCGAACTCTGCATGCTAAAGTAGTCAGCATGAACCGGTTTTGAGCACCACCTTTAGCTGAAGATTTGGCATATGAAGTATAATTTATGTTGTGTGGGCTACTTTCAGGCTAAACTCTAAGCATTCTTCAAAGGATTCTTCTCTTTGTCTCATTCTTCTCTTATTTCATACCGGCTGTTCTTGTGTTTGGTATGACACCAGAAGGTAGTAAAACACAATTTTAAAAGCATCTTTCTCTCTTGAATGTGCGGTTTTGTTCATGCTCCTGCCTCTCCCTGTGCACCCATCTGCTTTGGGGCTCGTAGATGGCACACATCACTGCGCAGGCAAGTGGCAACCGTGGAAAAGTGCCCATGGCTGCTGGCGAGATCGGGGCTGTGCATGCAGAGAGTAAGGTTGAGCTTGTCCTCTCTCCATAGAGAAGACCAGCTTGTCAGACCCACAGATTTCAGCTGTGGCTTTGACACTGACACTGAGCTTCTGAGGCTTTTGGGGGAACTTATACACCTTAAATATCTTTGTGTGTGTTTGCCAGAGCGCCTGCTGGCAAATCACCATTTCCCTGTGGCATATACTGGGCTGAGTGAGCTTTGGAAAGCAGAGTAGTGATGGAAATGGTGCAGTGTAATGTTTTCATTAAGTACCTGGTCTGCTCTTCTTGTTTCCCTTCTGATTTAGTATTTGTCCCCTTTCCCCCCTTTTCTTCTCCAAAAGCACACCCTTCCCCATCCCCACCCTCTAACCTCCCCTCAGATGTAGTACTCTGTTGTCTTGTTACCTTTCTAAAATGCTCACTGAGCATATGTGTCCAGAGACCTTTCTGCATGGTATGAAAATAGTTGGCTGCTTATAAAGTAGAAGAAGAACTTCAAAAGTTCCTGCCTGTGGCCGCTCGCAACCTGAGTGATCAGAATGCAGTGTCTTTTCGTCAGGGAAAAGATGAAATGTGTTCATTGCTAGATTACTATTTAAAGAGAAACCACTCAAATGCTATAATTGGAATATCCAAATCGTGGGCCGAGTTCCTCTTCCTGGGGTCCTGTTGCAACTTTGATATACAGACTTTGTCAAAAAGGTTTTGAAGGCAGAAAGCCTGCCAGGAAGAACAGTAGCAGAAAGGGGGGAAGATCAAAATATCAAAGGGGATGGGACTGACGGAGGAGAAGTCTGCAGTGATGAGGCTCCCATGGATCTTTTCCTTTCTCCTTCCCAGGATTCAAGAGCTTTATCCCCCCAGTAGAAATGCAAAGGGGAAGCAGTGGGCATTAATACTTCCTGCTCATCGAGATGCGAGCAGCCCACCCGAGCCCAGGGAGGAGGGAAGAGAGAGGGAGGTGTAATTTACGTCTTTTCTTGCTGGCTTCAGTGAACTTGGCTCACCATGGGTCCCTCTCTCGCTCCTGTGAAATACGTAGGATTATAAATGTGATGAATTTCTGGTCTGTGTTGAAGGGCACAGGGTGGTGCTGTCTTGCTCTTGGGCTTGCTCAGATATACGTTTCGTGTATCGCTTACCTACCACGCAGGGTGGTTATAAGGATTAATTAGTTAATGTTTGTACAGCACTTTGAAGATGTAATGCACTATTAGGCTCTAGTCTCTGCTTGATGCATGAGTAGAACACCCATTAATGCTAATGGAGGTTGCGCGCATTTCTCAAGCAGGGAATACATAAATGCTAAATATAATTGTAATTATTATTGTATTTCACAATATTACTTGATCGGGCTTTTGTAATTTAGCTTAATTTTTTTAATATATAGCTTGCAGAAATAAAAAATGTTCTTAATTTTGAATCTTGCTTTC